GGCGCTAGCATAAATGTCATGCCATATAAGTTGTTTAAGAAGCTAGACCTAGGTGAACTTAGCCCTACTAGGATGAGCATTCAGCTAGCTGATCGTTCCGTTGTGCATCCTAGGGGTATCATAGAGGATCTGCTTGTTAATGTGGGTGCATTCACATATCCTGTTGACTTTGTTATTCTGGATATAAATGAGGATGTGGATGTGCCTTTGATTCTAGGTAGACCATTTCTTGCCACCGCCAAGGCACTTATTGATGTGCATGATGGTAAACTGATCCTGCGTTCAGGAAATGAACAGTCTACTTTTTCTGTGACTGAATTCGATCACTGTGCTAGGATTGCTGTCACACCTGTGCATGCTATTTCTGACCAGGTACACGAGCCTGTCGTGTATCCTTCTGCACCTCTCATTTTGCAGGATCCCCCTCTCACTCCTTCGTCGCCGCTCCCTCCAGCCTCACCGCCGAATAAAAAGCTCAAAGAGGAGTGGCGGCCGAAGCCGCAGGTGGCTAAGCCTGCTCGGAAGAAAGGTGGAGACCACTATGAGCTGATCCCACCTCCCGCACCACGACCACCCTGGCCATCGGCGTATTCGCTTGCTTGCATCTTGTCGGATGGCCAGGTCGAGCTGACCAATGCTAGTGGTTGCGCCCGTAGGGTGCACGGTCACCACCTGAAGCTGTACCTCAAGAGCGATGTGGATCCGCTCTTGGAGGCACCTGTTCCTGCACCACGCTGATTATCCACCATGGGCGTCCAGCTACAAGACGGTAAAGAAGCGCTTGTGGGGAGGCAACCCCACCACGGTTTTCATTTGTTTCTTTTGTTTTGGGTCGGATTGCCAATAGCTTTGGCTTTGGTTTGTTTTCTTTTGTCTTGGATGATGTAATATTGGGCTGACCATTGGACCTGACGTATTGTGTTGGAGTTCTCATGTTTCTTTTAGCTGTGCCTGTGTACCTGACTGGTCCTCTCTCCAATCCGCTTCATTTCGACTGGTCCTTTCCAGTCTCCTGCAGTCCGTGCATACCGGTAACATCGTTCCCCTTTCCTTTCCTCTTCTCCATTAAGGGCAATGTCGATCTTAAGTGTGGGGGGATGTTTATCTTTTGACTGCATTAGATCTGTTTGTGTGCTTGGAGCCTAGTCCACTGTCCACTGTCCAAATTTTTAAAAATTTGAGGGCTCCAAGTACGTGTTCCTTGCCTGCTCAGTATGCTTTGAATTGACAGTCTCTGTAGTAATGTGCAACCTAGGGAGGTAGTGTAGCACTATGGAGGATGTTGATGCATTTAAGAAATCTCATTTCTTCTTCATATTGTGTTGGTTGATTGAGTGAATTAGTGATCTTAGGACCCTTCAATTGTGTGGTGTTGTGGATTCTCTGCCTGTCATGGACTCTTGTATCATGTTTTGAAAATAACAAGTGCTCGAAAATGTGCTTTAAAATGACGTCTCTCGTGCGAATAGTGCGAAAGTGTGTAAGGGGAGACGAGAATCTGTTCCCAATTTCCACCTACTACCTCCAGCCCCCTTACATGTCTTTTCCCTGCACGAGGCTCGAGACACCCGCTCCTGGCATGGCCGGTAAGATCTGGGCTCCCACAAAACCTTTGCTAGGTGGGAGCCCCGTTTTCTGAAAAACAGGTTGGAACCCTTGAAAAAAGAAAGGAAAAAGAAAAACAGAAAAACAAGCAAAAAGAAGAAAGAAAAGGGGTTCCAACCATCTTCAAGAAGAAAATCGAGCACCTTGAAAAAATGTGAGTCCATGATCTTTTGTTTTTGAGAGTCTCTTCATCCACGATTCATTTGTCCTCTGTTCACTATTTGCCATGATGCCGACTCGAGACTAGTGCTCTCGCCGAAGAAGCTATGAGATGACTTGTGCGTCGGTTGACCTCGTAAGTTGCTAAATGATCTAGGAAGTCCTCTACCTACGATCGAGTTTGTTTGTTGCTATAGAGGTATGGAGAGTTGCATTGGTTTGAGTTAGGTTTGCTTGGGGACAAGCAAACGGTTAAGTGTGGGGTAGTTTGATAGACCGATAATTACACATGTTTTCACCCCTATTCTGAAGCCGTTTGAGATGTGGATTCTCGTGTTTTAAGCCGATTTCACGCTAGGTTGTGTTTATGTCATATTTCAGGACCCGACGTTGGAATCGAGGCGGAGAAACGAGTTCTGGGTCGAAAGGAGCGAAGTTGGGACGAAGTGGGTTGCAGGAGGAAAATACCCGGTCAGGTGGCCAAATACCCGGCCGGGTATTTACTATTTTGGGGCGCCCGAGAATCAGAGAGGGGCCCGGGCAGAAGGCTTAAATCCCCGGTCGGGGATTATTGGAGCAGACTGGGGATTTTCCCTCGAATGAAACGTGCGTTTTGAATAATACCCGATCGATACCCAAAATACTCGACCGGGTATTTCGACCGGGTATTGCGACCAGGCAGCAGATTTAAGGGAAAGGAAGGCCAACATTCAAGGGTTCCGAGTTTTGGAGAGATAGAGCGATTCCTAAAGAGAGAAAGCGACGAACCAGAGTTCCCAAGTGCCATAGCTTGATCTTCATCACCATTGGAGCCCGGCTTGAGCTTGGAGAAGTGTCGATTAACGTCCAGGAGCAGAAATCCATCTTCACAGTATGATTTCCGTGTCTGAATCCTCTTTTGCTTCTTTCTGGTCGCCGTCGGCTATATTCTCACCACGAAAACGACTACCGCCTCCACGATCTCGCCGACCTCTCCCCCTGCCCCTGACGGCAACTGCTTCCTCGTCGTCGGACGACATCTGCTCCGTCGAGGTTGAACTCAGGCGCTGCCGCCTCTGTCTACGGTGGGGTGGCCTTTGTCAGCGCAGTGACGCCTCTGTCTGCAGCGGGGACGCCTTTGTCTGCGGAAGGGTCGCCCACCTCGGCGAAGTGGTGGTGGATCTGGTTTTTCGGGCGAGAGAGAGGAGGTTGGGGGGTGTGTGGGTAGGAATAAGAAGAGGATAAGAAAGGAAAGGTGGGGAGGGCGTCGCGCGGTTTTAAAAAAATGAGGGGATGGCGGGGGCGCCTAAGACTGGTTTTCGGGATTCAAAAAGCGGCCTCAGCTGGGTCTTTGGCGGCCACGCCTATAACCCTACACAAATACACAATATTTGTGTAAATACTTTTTAATCCACCATATTGATGGTAAATTAAAAAAAAAACAATATTTATGTCATTAACCCTAAGAAACCCATGCGGGTTAGGGCTGGTAATCGATTAACCGGTTGACAACGGTTACCGGTAAAACAGCTAGCCGACAATCTCGGTAAGCTATAGTCAACAACCAACAATCAATATACCATAGTCTAGTCGGTTATTAACCAATGGTTACCCTGGTAATCGGAATACCGACGAAACCTTCTCCTCTATCGCCAGAAGTGTCTCTATCTCTAAGTTCGAAGAAACCTTCCTCCCATCTCGTTTAAGTTCTCATTGTTTTCCTCTCCGTTCTTGTCCCTCCCGTGGACCCACAACGAGTCACCCACAGGCCACCGCCATAGAATAATCAGCCGCCACAAACATCTCATCCTCTGCTCTTTCAATTCATCTCTGGCGAAGTGCAATTCCATGTCGCATGCGACTAGATCCAAGACTCTCCACGGCTCGCGTGCTGGCCACGAACAGCCGATCGCCGCTCACATCATCTCATCCAACAACTTGCATGTCACCTCTCCAGTCCATGATTCCTCCGGCCTCAGCTTCTCCCCGTACTCTTGTTGAAATTGTCGGCCTCAGAGGCTGACGTTTCCTCCTGATCAGCCTCGACCGCTAGCTTTCCTAGCTGGCGCCACTCGTCCAGGCACCATCACCAATGCTGGTCAAAGCCCCAACATTTAACGGGTGATGATGTTGGTGTCGGGGAAGAACTGGCGGCTCGGTGAGAAGTCGAGAATAGCAACGAGCCGACTACAAGCTGGTTGCCACTCATCTCCCAGCGTCGACAAGCCTGAAGAACACATCGATTTCAATTCCTAGAATCCTTCGTTCTAATTCGACCTTACCTAGATACCAATCAAAGCAATGCTAGCAGAAAATTTGAGAATTACCTATAAAAATGGACATTTAACGGGTGATGAAACCAGATGTCGAGGAGGTGGAGCCACAAATGCGATCAGAAGGGAATGTTTGGAAATAGAAGGTTTCATTGGTGGAAAAGCTAGAGAGCGAGTTGAGGAAGAAGACAAAGAGAAGGAAGACCTTTCGTAGTAGACATGAATCAACTATTCGAGTAACCGGTTTGGTAATTGGTAACTGACTAGCCGGTAAACCCTGTATTGCTTGTTGATAGCCACCTAGCGTAATTCTGTATATCATTAACCGACTAATTGACTACCGGTTAAACCAGTGATCGACCAATTATTAGTCCTGATGGAGGTTATGATAAGTTGATAACAAAGGAGTCGTTTGCTTGTTGGATTTGGGTCATGGATTTGGTATCCAAATCCCAAGTTTGATGGATTTAACATAAGTCCATTGTTTGTTGAAGGATGCTAAATCCGTGGGGTCCACGGATTTGGTCTTTATTTTGGAACCAAATCCATGAACCCCACGGACTTGTAAATCCCACATATTGATTTGGGATTTGCAAATCCTTGATGGTTAGTTATTTATTTAACAAATTCATCATCAAATCTATCATGCAAACATTAGACTCTTCAAATCCATAATCCAATAAATCCAACATAAATCCAAAGATTTTTGTTGGCCAAAACCCTCATTTTTCAAATCCAATAAGCAAACGACCCCAAAGTCAATCACTCAAGAAGATAATTATCACACCCACATTTGGCCACCTCATTCCGGGGCCCACATGCAGCATTTCCTTTCAATCCATCCAACGGCCAATACCGTTTGCTGCCATCCTACGCTAAAATGATCTCAAACTCTCAAATTGCACCCGCTCTCACCCTAACCACACACCTTAACGGCCGTTACCATTAAGAAAGTAACAGAAAAGGGCGAGAGAAAGAAGAAAACAGACGCGACCGGCCCAAGGCCCAACTTTTACCTTTCTCCTTCTGTCGGTCTTTCCGCTTTTCCCCTTTTCTCCGTCTTCCGCCTTTTCCCTCCCTTTCCCTTTTATTTTCTTTTCCCCACGGCAGCACAAAGCAAAGCAACACCCAAACACCACCGAATCCCACCGTCCTTGTCCACAAATCAAACCTTTTCTTTTCTTCCTCACTTTCTCTTCTTCCCTTGAGAACGTTCAAATATAATTCCGATAAACGTTCCTCTACTTCTACCAGTCTCCTCTGCTCCCGATCTCGGCCAGCGGCTGCTCTTCTTCCGTGTTATCACCACTTCCACGATCTCATATCTCTCCGACTTACCCCCAGCTTGTTCGTGACGCTACATCCATGGCTTTCAGAGGGGTAAGTTTTCCTCTGTTTACTATGCTCCGGTGATCGAATTCCGTGCTGAGTTTTTGTTTTGCGCAATAGATTCCCTGCTTTCTCTGTAGTCTATCCTCAGTTGTAATCGATGATGGAACTGGCGTGTTAGTGTTGTACTCTTGTTATGAGAGATGCGGTAGCCGCCGCCGCCGGCCACGTATTGAATTAGCTTCCGTAGTTGCCTTCGGTTCTGGCTGATTGAAAGGGAAAGGAGAAGTTCAATTTCGTCTTTGCTTTCGTTAAAACGTTCTACTTAACTGTGGTGCAGATTTTTCAGCTTTGGTTTTCTCTTCGTTTGTTGTGTGCACCGCGTAATTTCTCTTTAGAATCGAAGTAAGATTTATGATGATGATGATGATGATGGAGATGCTTCAATGGAATTTGGCATTCTTTTTGTCAATTGCAAAGTGCGATTCAGTCATGCTATTGTTGTTGTTGTTGTTGGGAAACGGGGCAATTACATGTTAGGTTTTCATTTTGGTCAGCCAAACGCAACATCAGGGATGGGCGTTGCAGACAACAGCAAGACCACGTTCCTCGAGCTGCAGAGGAAGAAGGTTCACCGCTATGTGATCTTCAAGATCGACGAGAAGAAGAAACAGGTGGTGGTTGAGAAGACCGGTGGCCCAGCTGAGAGCTATGAGGATTTTAGTGCTTCCTTGCCTGAGAATGATTGCCGATACGCGGTCTATGACTATGATTTCGTCACCGCTGAGAATTGCCAGAAGAGCAAAATCTTCTTCGTTGCTTGGTCAGTCACACTCCCGCTCTTTTCCCCCTTATCCCATCCATGCCTCTTATTTGTTGCCAGTTTAGTATCACGGGTTATGGTTTCTGAGTTTTGGATGCTGCAGTTTGTTTCCGAATCATTGTCTGCATGTGGATTTTCGATACTGTTTCAACTTTGAAAAACTATTGAAATGCGGCATGTGATGGATTTGGTGCACTATTTCTGAGTCTCAGCTCTCTAAAATGTTTCAAACTATTCTTAGAAGTTATTGCATCATTCTTCAGGTAGATGTGGTTTAGGTTATACTTCATCTGCTACTGCTGCTCTGCTTGTTTTGCAATGCAAATTGTTCTATATCGATTCGGTGCAAGATAGTGGGGACTTCCTAAGTTCTTTAACTCCTCAGTAGGATGAAATGTACTGAACAACCATTGTTGTAGAGGCGTGAATGCAATGATTAGGTTCACGACATATCGAATCAACTTGTGGATGGATCGTGTCCGAATATATTATGCTTCAATTTCTATTCCACGAATCCTATTATAAAAGAAAGAAAAAATGGACTTACATTTGACTGGACCGGAGTGAATCCGAACGAATGCACTTTCCAACCCACAACCTAGATCCCTCATTTTCCCTTTACTTTCTGTCCAGTCCGATTCTGGACAGTACAAGAGTACTGGACCATGCATACTCCTTGACTCGAGCCTTTTCATTTTAATGCCCCATGTACTCTTTGCTGTTGTGTTAAATATGTACCAGAATGATGTCCTTTCTCAGGTCCCCTGCAATTTCATTTTAATACGCATGTACTCTTTGCTGCTGTGTTAAATATTTACCAGAATGATGTCCTTTCTCAGGTCCCCTGCCGTTTCTCGCATCCGCGCCAAGATGCTCTATGCAACTTCGAAAGACAGCTTCAGAAGGGAGCTTGAAGGCATCCATTATGAAATCCAGGCCACTGACCCGACCGAGATCGATCTGGAGGTGCTGAAAGAGCGTGCAAACTGAGAGCACTTCCCATCTCTCAACTGTATCTTAGCAAACCCACCATTGTGCTTTTCTTGTGTGACACACCTACAAGGTCATTGTTACTTGTACGCCTAAATCACTGATTGTTCTGCGACAAGGTATACAGAGTCGGTGCAGCTTGATTGTATCAAAATAATTGAATCACCTGGGAAGGCTGATATCAGGAGCAAGCTTGGCCGCAAGCTTCATACTGCCATGATGCTTCCCAGGTGAAACTGGGATGGTTGTTGTAATGTGATAACATGTGTTGTGTTCGTTTGTGTCTTCTCTCTTGTGTTTTCTTACACGCCAGGTTAGGTTTAAATGGTTTAACGACTACTATTATATTGATATATGGTGGTTAGGGGAAAAATTGGTACGGTATCAGTCTCAATAGTAAGGTTGTCTTCCCGTGGACTGATCCGAATCCGGACGAGCTGGTGAGTTAAGAATTAATGGGTCATCCGTTTTAGCCCGGTTTAGCTCGAAAATGTGGAAAGAGTCATTATATTATACTTATCATAATAAATTATATCAAATCTCATCTAACATAACTTATAACATAAAATATTACACCAAAATAACATGTCGTACTTAGATCCAACACGAGCTGGTGGGTTAAGAATTAATGGGTCATTCGTTTTAGCCCGGTTTAGCTCGAAAATGTGGAAAGAATCATTATATTATACTTATCCTAATAAATTATATCAAATCTCATCTAACATGAGTTATAACATAAAATATTACACCAAAATAACATGCCGTACTTAGATCCAACATATAGTGAAAATTCACACACTTATATAATATCAATATTCAAATGTTCAACTTTGGATTCCAAAAATTGAGTTGGACGAAAAGAAAAATCGAAAAATAGCCGCATTTCGCAAACCAAAGAAAAAAATGGCACAATTTGACCTCTAACCCGGTACCTTGTAGCGGTTGACCCGGCGGGTGTGTGCGACATGTTTTTCTCATTAGGTCAGGTCAAAGTGGGTCGACCCGCGGGTCGACTCGCGGGTTGACAACCTTGCCCAATACCAAATACCGAAATCTCGAATATTGAATTACAGTCTAAAATCAATCCTAATCTCTAAATAATTTCGGTATCCTAATCTCAATTTCTAAATATTTCAATATCTCAATTGGTACTTCGCTATCTCAATCAGTATTATCGAATACGAAATTAATTACTTTGCAATTAATAATTAAATATATAAATTAGAATTGATTGTTTAATTTAAGGCAAAGAGACTAAGTAAAGAGTCTTAATTTTATCTAGAGTTAGGATATGGATAAGAATAATGGAGGAGATGTGACATCTTAAATTTTTGTTATTGGTAATCTATAATTTGACTAATACTGGTGTTTGCTTTTTGGTGCTATGAAAATAACAAGAGATTAGGTGAGAGATGAGATTGACTTAAACTGAAAAGTTCAATTGAGTTGGATGAGGGCTTCTTAGTTGTGAAAGAGTGAGGAATGACCAAAGGTTGTGTGCTATATTTCATTAATTTTTAATTTTTGGTATTTTGGTATTTACTGATTACAATCCCATAATCCCGAATACTGAATAGCACTCCAAAATCAATCTCAATCCCAATCCCTAAAAAATAATCCGATATTCGGTAATACCAAATAGTGATAAGTTCGGTATCGATATTCAATATATCCGAAATACCAATACCAAACTTCTAGTCCAAATGAGGTTGGTTGAATAAAATATTTTATTTTAGCAACGATATTCATTTTTTTTAAGAAACGATATTCAATTAATATTCTATTGATTGAACTATTTTCTTACCACTATAAGGGGAACGGATCAGGTGGGTAACCTTATGGTGAGTAACTATGAGTAACCCGCCCACATCAGCATGACATCAGCATCCTCTCTCTCTTGGAAAGCCTTTAATTTTCCCCTCCTTAATCTTTGACGTACGATTTCTCACTCGTTTTAAGTCAAAATTTAATTATTTTTTTTGCACAGTTAGATCAGATTAATTGTGCTCTTCAAAATGATATCCACTTTGATATATTTTTCGAACAAAAAAAATTGAGCCATTTTTTACCAGTCTATACCATATGTTATTGACTGGTATTGAAATAAGAGCATACCTATGGTTTGAAAAGTGTACCATGGTGGTATGACACAAACCAAAATTGTAGGATGGTTGAATACATGATAGTAGAAGTATATTAATTGTCATTTACGACTTTTAACATTGTATACCATAAGATACCACCCCGTACCAAGGTGGTATTGTATGATATTGTGTGGTATTTTTTGGTCTTGTAATTTGTTCACCCAGAAATTTGTAGATCATGATGAACTCGTCCCTGCTGTGCAAACGTTTTCAAAAACGAATTAAAAACGAAGACGATACCATATGGTATGCAGTTGGTACCGAGAGGCCATAATTTTTTTTTCCTCAAAAAATATTGAAAATTGATCTCATTTTGTATTTTGTAGAGCACGATGAAACTCGTTCCATCTTTGCAAAAAAAATTAAAATCCGAGTTAAAACGAAAAAGATATGAGTCAATTAAAAAAGCTAGTGAAAATAAAAATAATTTTTAATTCTCCATCCTTAGATCTGGATTTTCTAAATGAAGGGTTTATATTTGATTATTGATGGGTGCATAACCCATAATTATGCACCCTAACTTGAGCCGACTATAAGATACAATTCCACTAATTCACCCTCTACAAATCTCGATATAGTTTCCGATAAACATTACTTTATATCGAGTAGGGTTTCTAGTTGTTCTTATCGGTTTTGGATATGGGTTTCAAATTGTTTTGTACTTATAGATTTCGATTTGGTTATTGTTGAAGCCGTGATACTCTCTCACCCTCGAGATTCTTCCACTTGCTCCGCGCCTGGCGCTTGGACCCTGCAGGACGGGCGCCGGGGGGGCTAGACCCGTCCGTTAGCACTCCGACGATCAAGTCAGAAGCTATTCTAGAGAGAGAAGTGAAGAAAGAAGTTTAGTGTGAGAAAGACCAACCTGCTTAAATGCTACCTACCAAGTGCTATTTATACTACTCGAGCTCCTCGACCAAGCTCCGACCAACTCCTGCCACCAAGACTTACGTCAGCCTAGCATTAAATGCTCGGTCTCCCCTGGCGCCTACGCGCCTACACGTGGCATACCATCCATTTTCCACGTCGGGGCGCATAGGGGGACCACTGGCCTCGTGGCGCCCTTCTGACCTTGTCCACCTGTACTCCCTTGTCTGCGAGCCTATTTTGTCGTCATGCGCCCCTGCTCCTTCATAGTCACCTAGGTCATACTCTTATGGGCCATAAATGGGCTTCAGGCCCAACAGGCTCCTAACTTTCATGAGCTCCTTTCCACTATCCCAACAAGGTCCACTGGGCTCTTAACTTTCATGGGCTCCTCTCTACTACCCCAACAATTGCCCCCCCAGTTAGGTGTTCACTGATGAGCGCCTAACTATGTGCCTGGCTTTCATTAGGCTTTGCGTCACCATGGGGCGCCCGAATTTGCTTTGCATAGGCCCATGCGCCCCCATTCACGTTGCCCCCTGCCTTTTCAGCCGATCCTCATCATTCTAACCATGAGGGTGTCTGATCTTACTTATCACAAGCCCATACGCCTTCTAGACTTACACATGTTCAATCATTAAGGCGCCCGCTCGCACCTAGGTTCGGGCGCATGAAAGAAAGAAAACAAGAGGCGCATAACCGCGATCCTCATCATTCCACCTGGTTTTGAACAAACAAGGAGGCGCACGGCCCTGCACTTACCAAGCGCATGACCGTACCTCCTGTTTTTACTTATCATAGGCCCATGCGCCCCCATTCACGTTGCCCCCCTGCCTTTTCAGCCGATCCTCATCATTCTAACCATGAGGGTGTCTGATCTTACTTATCACAAGCCCATACGCCTTCTAGACTTACACATGTTCAATCATTAAGGCGCCCGCTCGCACCTAGGTTCGGGCGCATGAAAGAAAGAAAACAGGAGGCGCATAACCGCGATCCTCATCATTCCACCTGGTTTTGAACAAACAAGGAGGCGCACGGCCCTGCACTTACCAAGCGCATGACCGTGCGCATGACCGTACCTCCTGCCCCCACTCGGTGTGCGTTCAAATTTTGAATTTCAAAATTCAAATTTTGAACGGAGGGCGAGGATTGGATCGTTCAGCGCGCGGTTTCCGAGGTGACTCTTCACCTCCTCCCTTCCTCTTATAAATATTCACCCTCCTCTCCATTCTATCTCATTCGCCCCAAATCTACTTCTCTCTCTACTTCCTCTCTCTAGCTGCTCCCTCTCTTTCACACCCACGCGCCCTCTTTTCTCACGTTTGTGCGCCCGTCCTGCTCTCGTCGAGCCATGTCGAAGTCAAATTCCGGCGCGGCGCCTGACTCCGTCGATAAGGAGGCGCCTAGCGTTCTTGACGTTTTAGAGCAGCATCTGTCGCCTGACCCGATGCGAAACCAGGACCAGAGAGCGCCTCGGTCGACCAAGGAGGCGCCCAAGCAAGCGAAGGGTAACTCTTCTTCCCCTGCGACTGCTAATGTCGAAGCGCCCCTAACGGCAATTACGTCGGCGAAACAAGTCTCAAACGCGTCTGAAGATTCAGAGGCGCCTTCGGAGTCCGCGCCCACGGGTTCCACAACTAACCAAGGTATTTTTCCTATGCCCCCCTGACTTCCAATTCTTCAATTTTGCATTGCTCCTTTGTTAGGCGCCCGTTAGCAATCTTAGGTCCGTGTCATTGACCGAGGGCGATTGGATAACTTTTAGGCTCCGCGCCTACCTCGGACTCCGCGCCCGCTTCGTCAGAGTCGGGTGAGGTGCAAAATTCTCCAGCCTCCACCAACTCAGGCGCCCCTGAAGATGGGTCGTTCAAGATAGTTGATTGGGTCGATACTTGGCCACAGGGGGGGGGGGGCGCCTGAGAGTATAAGCAACCTGCCCGTGACTCGAGCTGGGCCAAACCACGTGGCCACCGTCAAAATAGCAGAGTTGCATCGCCTGATAACCTCGTGCAGCTTACCCCGGAGCTGGTCTTATGCGCCTGCCCCGCGGGTTACCAGGGTAGGCGTTGTGGGTCCTCGCTGGATTGGGATCTACCGAGAGTACTTTAAGTTCGGGTTGCGCTTTCCCTTGGACTCGATTTTACAGGGAATTCTGGATACATGCGCCTGTCCTATTGGGCGCCTGTCACCGTCTATCTTCCTGATACATGTTTTGTTCAAGTTGAAATGCCGTCAGAACGACATCACTCCCACGTTCAAGCTCTTCAAGCACTTTTTCACGATGACCAGCAGTAAGAATTGTCTAT